TTTTTTCTGATATATTAGAATTGAAATTTTACAGAAAATATGAGAGAACTGGCTTGGTTGGATCATTGAAAATGTACTCTATTCTGTTGAGTATAAAACTATATTGACTGGTTCTGTAAAATAGTGAATGCCACTGTAATAACTTTAGCTGTTGAATGTTGATGCAGGTCCAGAATGATGTCAAAATTCAGAGGACAGTTTTGGGAGAAGTACAAGATTGGGTTTGGTTATGGACACGAAGTAACACATTTCATTTTCCTTCTTCTACTCAGTGTTCAGGAGCCTACCCTACCCTACCCTACCCTACCCTACCCTACCCTACCGTAAAAGTATAGTTTTTAGTCAGTATTATCTTGGTTTTAGTTTTCATCATTTTGGCTCCCTTGGAGTGCTATAGGGGCAACTGAATTTGTACAGTTTTATTTTCCACCTTGAAAAGCTACTGGATTGCCGCTCTTAATAGCTGTTTATTTCTCTTGTTATGGTGATAGAGTTCCATTGCCTCTGTACAACACACTCAATTATAAAAATTGGCATTCCTCAAGAGTTGGTTTGGTTTTGACAACCAAATATTAGGTTAAATGTATGCATGTATTTAAAGCAAAACTTTTTTGATCACTTTTAAAAACATTGGTAGCAAAAAAAATTGTGCTTGTATGTGGCAAAACAAGCAAAAGTACAGTACTCACCCATAAATCAACTCTGCATTTATAAATTTATAAGTCCCCTTTTCTGAGATTTGTGGTCTTTTATGTTGCATGTATTGGAACATAAAAGACCACAAATTAAGGTTTATTCATGGATACTGTTGTTCCAGTAGAAAGGGGAGTATTAGCACCCTTGATCTTCTCTCTTGCATGTGGAATTAAAGGAATTGAGAAAAAGGGAGTCTTTCTGGTTTTAATTCCATGTCTAGGTTGATTATTTTAGTTAAACAGGCTCTATATTTTCAGGCTTAAATTTCAGTTTGCCTCTGTTTCTGTTCAGATGGCCAAAGATTTGCCCAATGGCACTGGGATACCTTGTTATCAGGATTGGCCCCAAATGACTTTGATGCATGTATTTAAACACACATTTGTATATGGGTATTTGAGTGATAAAGAAACAGCAGGATTTTGGACCAGAGGCATGTCATTCACATGGCAGATTGTATGCTAGACTAAATACATTAGGGGAGTTAACTCAAGAAAACAGACTTGGTTTAAATGTGATTAAAAAACCTTTTATATTATCCAAAAAATAATTGCAAAAAGAAAGGATTTGTTAGATTATCATCTTCAACCTTGGACTGGAAACTCCTTCCTTTAATATGCCTGATAGCATTGATAGAGCAAGAGCAGGCTGCCAAAGAGGAAGCAGGAAAGGCATGTGGGTAATGGTGTGGCAGCGTTTGAAGGCTAAGTGGGGGAGGGGATCAGATGACAGTGGGGCAGGGTTAGTCATGTGAGGGACAGAGCAGGCAGATTTAGAGCAATATAGGAGAAGAGGGAGAGTGGCTGAATGTTCACTTCTTTTTGTCTGTTAATTTCTGAAGCTTGATTAAAGACTGATAATTAGTCAGTGTAGGTGAGATATGTGTCTTAGGATCTTGCTCTACCCTTAGTTTTTAGTCTGGCCTCAGATGAGGTAAACTGCTTACAAAAGCCAGAATGATCAAAGCCAACAACTTTTAACAATCCTCCTGCTTTCTTCTACTGAGGCACATAGACCTCTCTGTAGCCAACTCACAAAGGTCTGCATTCCCAGTATTGCAACTGCATGTATAGAGAGTACGTCATTTCAAGTAACCCAGGCAGGAATGCAAACTTGGAGCAAAGGGTGCTTGACAAGGAGTGACTTTCGGTTTACATGCATCAAGGTAGCACAAGCAAAGAGGAAGGCTTTGAGTTTGGAAACACAGAATTTTACCCAGTGCAAGGACTAATGCCAGATATCGATCACAAAAGAATGGTCAATGTGCCAGTTGGATCCCAGGGAAATTACAGTTTAACACAGAATGTCTGTCCTGTGATTACTCTGAGGGACTGAACTCAAAGGTAGTCAAAGAATATAGGCAGAAAATACAAAGGATAACATTACTCTGGGTGTGCGCAGGGTGGGGTTAAATAAAAGATTCAATAGCTTGGTTCCTGGGATAAATAGAAAACCTCTTTTGTTCCCATGCTTTGATGCTCACAAGAGGGCAGCTCCTGTTGATTTAATTCCAGTAGAGCAGGGATGGGTAGAAAGATCTGTAAAGGTTTGGGGTTTCAACTCCCAGAAGCCCCTGCTGGCATGGCAATGGTAAAAATGCTGGGAACTTAAGTTCAAAAAAGAATGGGAATCTTTTTCTGTGCTATAGGACATGTAGGTACTTTCTCAGAGTTACATATCAAATTGGCAACCTAGTAAGTGATTTTCAGATAAATTACTATTTTCACTATAGTAAAATGTAATCTACTTTGCCTTGATTTCAAGGACTAAACTCGCTTTGTATTGTTCAGTGTAACATGGCATTTATTTTCTGATACTGTTCCATCTCTGTTGTCAGTCTGTCATGTTTCTGTTCCTGGTTGGCATCACAGTTCACAAGTTTTAACAATACATGAGTGAGTCATGGACCACACTCGCTACTTTTCTTTCCTTTAGTATACTAGATTCTCTCTCTGATGTTTCTTCCTCCTTCCCCCATTATATCTTGGATTAGCCTGAAATAAAAGTGCTTCTGGGGGATTGAGCAGATCAAAGAATTAAGGAAGGGATGACTGTCTATGGCCTCCATTCTTAAAGACCTTGTGTGATATGGAGTCCAGGTCAGATGTAGGCAGTGAGATTCCTTGCAGTGGCAAGTATCATGTTTGCTCCTGAATCCCCACTTGTAATTGCATGTTTTAGAGTTCATTTTAGGGTGGGAACCTGCTCTTGGATGTTACACGGGACATTCCGAAGGCTGACTTAATTCTTGTGTATGTAGATATTGCTTGCCATGGGATGTCTGTAGTTGGCTCTAAACACAAAGTTAGTGAGAAATCAACCAAATGTTTCAGAAAAATAACATAGTCTTCAGTGCTGAAGATGATTAAAAATTAAAGTAAAATTAATACAATGAATACCAGGGATTTTTCTTTTTTACACTCATTGGTGAACTCCAGGCAAGCCCCAGTAAAGGAATAAAAAGATACACAGTTATGTAGAATTCTTACTAATCATAGTCAAATACAGTAGAATTTTTGAAGTTGCCATAATGTTTTAAGAGCCATATGTGTTGGAATGGGAGGGGGGAGGTAAGCCATGTTAACCAGTCACAGCATGATATATATAAGAGATGGAACTTTATTTTGGTTTTGGAATATATCCAGAGTCACAATGAGACATTCTTGACATGTTTAAAGCACTATTATCCCTATGTAGTTAAGCAGCTGCTCCTAATTAAGGACTAAATATTTTATTTATATCATATACAAGACAGTTTTATTTTATAATCAAAAGAACATCTCATTTTAACCTGTAAATGGAGTTTGTTTACTGCAATGTACAATATTTCAGGAGGTTTTATATCCAAGGGCTTTTTTAAAAGTTCTTTCAGCTTGGGGAACTACTAATAGCATGCTGTGCTTATGTTACTTAGTCTGCAAAATGGTTTGTAACTGTTTCACATTAGTACATTTTGCAACATCTCAAAATGTTCCCAAACATGTTTCAGATATTCTTGTCTGAAAGAGAGAGAGGGGAAAAAAAACAGTGCTGTGAGAAAGCAAAAGTACAGAAACAAACTGATATTAAATCTTGCTTGGTCAATGCCTCAGGTATGGTCCACATTCTTTTTACATTATATTTCCCCATATGCTTAGAGCAGAACAAACAACTCTGTTAAACAAACATTTTCCAATGTCCCTATGAAAGCCAGAGCAGGAAACCTTAAATGTATCATTAAAGTTGTGATCCTGTGGAGATTAGCAGACATTGCTGTACTTGAAGGCTGACATGTATACAAAGCAGAACAGAAGGAGCAGGGGAGATGATCTTCTGGTGGCTGTTTCACCATTTTGGAGGGGAAGGAAGGAAGCTAGATTGGCTTCAGAACACTTCAGAATAACTGGGCCATTCCACTGTCCTCTACTCCCTCCTCTCCATCTCCTTGTGTCATGAGCAGGTTATTTTCCTCTTTTCCTCTCCAGCAGACTCAAATGAAGCCTTAGAAGCACAATTATTTTATTAAAACTTAACTGGCCATAGAACATTATAAATCATAGTAGCAATACCTTTGAGATGAGGGGAAGCTTCTGCCCATGTGAAGAGCTGGATCCAAACAGAAACTTCCCTTCCTTCCATCCCTTTTATTAAAGCTTCTGACTCCATCTTCATAGTGCCCCCCTGCTGCTTGCAGGCTAGATGGTGGTAACTATAAAACAGGACATGACATCTAGATGGTTCATTATTCATTCTAACTGCACACCTTTGCAGGTATGGATGTCACAACAAGCTGCACCAGTAAGGGTAGTTGTATAAATCCAGCTGGCACACAAGCGGCATGTGCTGGTTGGTTGTACATGTACACATGTATGTACGTGGCAATACACTGTAATAATGCAAATCAAATAGGAACTGCAACCCTGCAACCTTATCCTACTTCATTTTCCCTAACCCTTTAGCTCATATTTAATTTGCACTAGGTACAATTAAGTTTTAGATAATTCAGTCATTAGCTGTTCTCTTGATTTCTAGATATTTAATTGGTGGAGTAAGGTTTTCCAAAGTGTATTATAAAAGTCCATACAGTACTTTCAGCTTACCTGTTTATATTGGTCCAAGTGGTCCTGTCTTTAATGCATTTGCTTTTTTATACTTCCACTAAAAAGTGACTGTGTATGTGAGAAAGAGAGAGAGAATGATAATGAGAATGAGAGAGAGGGAGATATTTCTGCATTCTGCATTTTGCCACTTTAACCATGAAAATTCAGCTTGGTAACTTTGAGGTGCAATTATAATTATTTAATTATAATATTTACTTTCTCTGACAGATAAATTTGCGCCTCATCTTGGTAAGTGGAAAAACAAAGGAGTTTTTGTTCTCGCCAAATGATTCGGCAGCAGACATTGCAAAACATGTATATGATAACTGGCCAATGGGTAAGTAGTACAGAGCTTTAAGAATTTTGTGTTTTTCCTGTTTAGTCAGTGTTCCAAATCGGTTCAATGTACGTGTGTGTGTAGGGGGGTATCTTCTTCATACATGCAGAAAGCTCTGAAATGTCAAAATATGATCTATGCAGTATTGATCTTCTATTGTTTTATCTCCACTTCATCCCATCTTGTCCTTCCCCACTGTATTAATCTTTCTAGTGCAGAATGGCACTGGGCTGCAAAAGTTGTAGTTGTGTCCGATGATAGTTCTACTCAGAGTAAGCCCATTGAAATGTTGAACAATTTTACACAGAAATTATATTTTTGGCAAGCTTGTATTTTGAAATCTCAGCTGAAGGGGAAACGACTGGGAGGAAGCTGCAGGGGATGTGTTAAATGTTTCTCCATATGGCCATTGTATCTCCTTTGAAATTGTCCCCTCCTAATGCAGCTTGGCAGCAGAAAAGTGGCAGCCAGAATTTCTAAACTCAAATTGACTGCCAAGCATACAGTTTTAGCTGTAGGAAGTTTCTGTACCACAAAAGAAATCTGAATATTTACATTCATAGGCTTATGTTTATGTCGAGCTTTTACTCCTGTATCTCATTATGCATCTGTAAGTCTGGAAGTCTAGTGGGATTATGTACATGAAACTGATCTTGTGACTGAAATGCCTTGAAGTGGCATTAGCACTGTTCATGTAGTTCTCTCTGCTGGACTTAATAATGGCACTGACATTAAAACATATTTAGTTAAAAGATCATGATTCTTCCTTTTTAGAATTAAAGATTTTCAATGAGGTTTATGGAAAGCACTTTAAAACAATAAAACAACAGCAACATCAACAGTAGATACTGTAAAATAAAAAAACAGCAGGAGAAGACAATATAGTAAAGTAAAACAATATAGTAAAGTATAAATACATTAGCACATCAAGAGTACAGATCATTTAAGAGTGTGGGCACTTAAAGAAAGTCTTTGATTGGCATCTGGGCTCATCAAACTGAATACCTGGTGAGTAGCTATGGGGAGTGTATGCCATTACCAGACTGACATCAAATATTAGTTCCTTGCTTAATCTTTTCAATTAGACGTCTGATAATGAACTTAATAGATGAACAGATTCTTTTGGTAGTGCCAAAACTGTGAAAAGCTGATTTATGCTAACCTAGTTTAATCTGGTTTTGAGGTTTGGTTAGAATTAAGTATATAGGCTTGTTTCAGACAACATGGCAAGTGCTCTCCCTCCCTCCCTCCCTCCCTCCGTGTGTGTGTGTGTGTGTGTGTGTGTGTGTGACCATTGCTAGTCTATTGTGTTGTCTGAACCCAGTCATGATATTGCACCTTAAGTTTGGCCTTTAGAAACAATCTTAAGAAACAACAGTTTGTTCTATGGTTTCTCTGTACCACCATGTTGCCTGAACCCAGAAATATGAATTCCACAGTCATAGTATGAAACTGTCACAGAATCCTCTGCAAAAAGTGGCAACTGAGGAGCTGCTCCAGCCATCTAACCTCTTTGTGTGGACCAATGAGGAAGAGGAAGGTAACATAGGCAGGAAGAGATGCACCTTGGGATTGAATTTCATGATGATGGCTGAGTGGGATACATGCCAACAGTGGGAGAACTGATCAAGGAGATGGAGACCATGATAAAGTAAAAACCACTTGATCACCTGTCAGATCATGGTAAAAACCACAAACCATGGTAACCACCAGGGTTGTTTATTGCACTGTGTGGACACAGTCACTGTGTAATAGCTGGTTAAGGCCAGTTGAGATAAAACACATTCTAGGAGGCGGGAGCACTCAATCCTGTGAGCTATCTCTGATCTTAAGAGCTAGATCATGATATGCCAGTTTATATTTGTAGGAGTTCTGTATTTATGCAAGGATATGATTGTATGTACATTGCATGTATCAGGATATGAGAATATAAGCTCCTCCCCATCTAGGAAATCAAAATTCTCAGAATGCTCATTTTCCACCTCTAGCATTGGTAAGTGCAGGGTACAGGCAGCCCTTTCTATTTCATACAGAAAACTCAGTGGCTGCAACCCACAGCCCCTGCCTCCTGTTGCAGACAAGACTTGGTTAGAACATGGGAGCACTTCCCTCTTTTGTTGTCAGCATTAAAGATAACTCTTTGTACACATAACCATCTCACTGTGCTGCTTAGAAAAAGACTAATTTCACCTGGTTTGAAGGCATTGCATGAACAGAGTGATGCTTGCACTTCTCTGGATCCAGTCTCATAATATTAAATTTTGATACTGTTATTCTTCAGAGTCCATGGCTTTTACTTCGGACAATACCATAATTTTAAACTTCTTTCTTAATTTGGGCAGCAAGAGAAAGAATGTAGTAGAATATTAAACACCTGTTCAGAATCTTTATGTTTTTCCTTTATATGATTTGTTAGAAATTATTTTTCTTGAGTGTATTCTCAACATGTCTGATGTTATGGCTTCTGTTTTTCTAAATGTTAATATCCAGTGTTCTAGGCCATCTGTATGGTTGTTGCTGGTGCAGGCAAACAAAGATACACCTCTTTTACTTGCTTTACATGCAGGCTCAGCTGCTTATATTTATGTTAAATTATATATAGTATGTAATGGAGGCAAACATAAGTAAGATAATGCGTGAACTTGATAATCTTTTTGTTGCTTTTTTCAGACTGGGAAGAAGAGCAAGTAAGCAGTCCAAATATTCTCAGACTTATTTATCAAGGACGGTTTCTTCATGGCAATGTGACGCTAGGAGGTAATAAAAGAAATTGAGCTATGGAGGCTTTAGTCCTGTGGGTGATTTTGGGCTGATGCAACAATAGACTACACTAACATAGTTTTTCTTTTAAAAAACGTTTGGTTTTGTTGACTTTGCTTGGAAAGCTCAATAGATGCTTTTCAAACTTTATCAACTTAGAATGTGATCTCATCAGCGTTTGAATTAAGAATGCAGTGGCATGCAATTGAATACTATGCTGCAGTACGGATTGGTAAAAATAAGTTTAAATCACTGTTCAAGATATTAGAAGGGATTTTTCATGCATAGTGTTCTCTCTTCATATAATGCTTACTGCAGTATCATCTTGCAAACTAAAGTACTTGTAATAATTAGTAATTTTATTGAAAATCTGGAAAGTGATGCTGTAATTTGATTCCACTGTTTGTATGCCACTTACATTGTGTACCATTAGAATCTATATTCCAAAAATTATGGGGATTGTATAGCACTGCACTGAGTCTTGGCACTCTGAGTGCTGAGACACTGAGAACTGCAGTAAAAGGAAGTTTTCTTGCTATGTCTAGCATAACCTTGAAGACTATTAAGAATTAAATGGCTATGGCCCTGCTTTAAATAAAAAAGTAGTTCAATTGTGCCCCCTTGTGGCATGCTTTTCTCATTTATTTATTTATTATGTCATGGTATATGTTCTCATTTCTTACTGCTTTAGTCTGGGACTTCATAAAAATTGTTTTTGTTTTTTTGTTTTTTAATGCAGTGTTCTTATTTGGTTGTGGATGTATATGCCTGGAAGTTTGTAAACATAGACATGCAAACTTCTGATCTGGCTTACTCCAGGTCCATTGCTCTTTTTAAATCTTTTGCCTTCTCCCCCATCCAAGAGTGTGCAAAACTGGGTTGCTAAGTTTTTCTTAAATAGTAAATGCAAACTGATTTACCCTATTCATTTAAAGAGTACTTTGTTTCAGCCAAAAAAGGGGTCCTAGATGGATTAAAAAGATAATTAATCTGACAATTCATGCCCCTAGGTTTACTGTCTAAGAGAAGGAAATAGAATTGGGGCAGAAGAGGAAAAGGCAAATTTAGACCTTAGTTTTTAATCAAATAAGAACATAAGAACATCCAAGCTGGATCAGACCAAAGATCTGTCTAGTCCAACACTGCTTACACATGGTGGCAAAACAGCTGCTCACAGGATCCCTCATGAAGGATAGCTGCAAGACCTACTCATACCCAAGCTCCTCATCAACTGGTATAGTCAGGCAGGTCACCTCTGCTAAAAGAGGCATCACACAGCAGAAAGGCTAGTAGCCATTGATAGCCTCCCCCCTCCCCCCCTGAATCTTCCAGTCTCCTTTTAAAGCCATCAAAATTGGAGGCTCTCACCACTTCCCATGGCAGTGAATTCCATAGCTGAATTATATGTTGTATGAAGAAGTACTTCTTTTTAGCTTTCCTAAGTCTCCCACCAATCAGCTTCATGGGATGATCCTGGTCCGAGTGTTACGGGAGAGGGAGAAAATGTCTCCCTCTCTACTTTTTCCAACCATACATTATTTTAAACCCTCTATTATGTCTCCCCTTACTTATCTTTTTCTGAGCTGAACAGTTCCAGTTGTTGTAGCACTCCTCATAGGGGAGCTGTTCCAGCCCCCTGATCATTTTTGTTGCCCTTCTCTGTACCTTTTTCCAACTCAATAATGTCTTTTTTAAGGTAAGGCGACCACAACGGAACACAATATTTCAAGTGTGGTCGCACCAAAGATTTGTATAAGGAAAATAAGATTTTGACAGTTCTATTTTCTGTTCTATTCCTAATTATGCCTAGCATGGAGTTTGCCTCCTTCATCATTGCATGCATCCTGTGCATTGACTGTCACCTCCAGATCGCTTTCTTACTCAGTCATTGCTAGCTCAGATCCCATCAGTGTACCTGAACCTGGGATTTTTTTGCTCCATGCATTACTTTACATTTGCTTACACTAAACTGCATTTGTCGTAGTGTTCTTCTAATGACCAGCTGGAATGGGAAATAGTTTTGATTGATATGTTGATCTGCTGCTGCTCTGTCATTAGAACTGATGGCATGGACCTGTTTCCCTTCACTCCCTCCTGTCACAGACTATGCCCTGGTATCCTGGTCTCCGCTAGGTGAGGGAGCCAGGGAAGATCCTGGTAGAGGTGGCCTCATAGGAGAATTGAGAATGTTTCCTTTAGTTTTTCCTGCTACATCCTCTTAGGATGCTGCTTATGCAGTGCTGGCAGACTCTGAAGATTTAAAAATAACATATTGTTTAGATTCATGCGTGGTATATAAATATATTGTTAAATTATATGGTACTCTCCCAGATGATTTAAATATAATTAATCAAGTAAGCAGTAATGGATGGCTGGAGGAACAGATGTGAGAGAAATGGGTGGAGTGGCGTGAAAGGGAAATGTCTCAACTCCTTTGTGTAGGATAAGGGTCTTTTCAGCAGAGTGAGATGGTGCAGTTTTTCTGACCTTTACTACTCCAGGTTGTGGATGAGGGGCAATGTGTATACATTGTTCCTGTGCTAAAAAGTGGTATGTAATAGAAATGGCCAGAAGTCCCTTCTGCCAGCTCAGGCTTGTACAGTAGCTGCAACATTATCTGGAGCAGTTGGACCTGGCCTCAGTTACCCCATTCACTAGTTACCTCCAAGCTAGGCTACACACAAATCCCACTTGATATGGGATTGCCTTTGAAGACAATTCAGAAACTTCAGTTAGTGCAAAATGCAGTGACTGGGAGGGTGATGGAGGCCAGAAAGTCTGAATGCCTAACACTAACTGAATGAATGTTTGCATTGGTTGCACAGCTACCAGTATGTGTCTGGCCACAGTTTAGAGCACTGGTGGTGATCTTTAAAACAATAAATAGTTTGGGACTAGGTTACATTAACACTTCGCCTATACCTGGATTTCTACTCTGAAGCTCTTGTGCCCATTGATTAAGTTGGTATATACAGGAAATGGGGCTTTTTTGGTGCTGCTTCTTAGCTACAGATTTCTCTTCTGGTTGACTTGTGGTTATTCTTTGGTACAGGTCTTTAAGAGGGTTTTGAAAATTTCTCCTTAAGAGCATGGGTAGCTTGTACAGTTCACATAAATTTTCTCATACTGCCTATACACTTAGCTGCTGTTTCTAATGTTTAATTAAAGTAACATAATTTGTGTGTACATGGAGGTTATGAAGGATTAATCTTAAAGTAGCTTAAAATGCATGAAATGAATACAAAAATCTTTCTCGTGCATGCTTTTCAGTATGCAGGAAGAGTACTGCATTTTTGGGTCCATTCAGATATCCATTGAAATTGGCACTTGAACATGAACCTTTTGGGAAATTAAAAAACATGCACATACTGCAATGTTATACATATTTACCTGGGAGTAAGTCCTAATGACTTTAGTGGGATTAAGTTCTGAGTAGATGCACATAAGATTGTGAGGTTAGCTATTCAGAAAAGTATTGTATATAAGATATATTTGGTTCTTACCATTTAATTATATGCTGTAGCAATTTTGGGTTTCTGTTTCTATTTTTGTGTGTCTTTATTTTGGCTAAAACAAAATATAAACTGAAAAAATCTTATGTTTAGTTGAAAAGTGATACTAGCATCTGGCTATTATATTGTTTTTGAATAGAAAGGGAAGCAAGTAAGTGTGTAAAGTAGGTTTTTTGCATAAATTGTAGAAGAATGAAAGATATTAGGGTAGAATTTATTTTACATACATTTTTACAATGCATCATTCAGAAACGATAACCAAGGATTCTCCAGAACCCTACCTCATTCCATTGGGTGAACCAGGCCACACATTCAGCAGGCATTTCAAGATGCTGCTGGGATTAATACCATACCCCATTAGGATAGCTGAGTCAGTGCAGAGTGCTGGACAAGGGACCCTGGGGATGAAGCTCATTGGGTAACTTTGATCTGGTTGCTGACTCTCTGCCCAATCTACCTTTCAGGGTTGTTGTGAAGGTAAAATAGAGCTATCTAAGCTACCTTGGGATCCTCACAAGAGGAAGAAAAGCAAGATACATATGCAGGGTGGTGGTGGTGGTGGTGATTTAACTTTCAATTTATTTAGTTGGGTTAGACAACTGCTTAAATTTAAGATTCTGTTATCTGTTCCAGAGATTTGGGGGCCAGGGTAGAATGTTTTACTTACCATTTTGCAATTTTTATTTGTAAATTTTCCTGAAAGTTTCAGTTGAAGAATGGCCAATAAAAATAGGATGGTCAATACTGAGAGAGACTAAAAAGGATCCAGAATGGTGACTTTCAGTATTTCCTACTGTTTCTGTATGGATGAAGGGAGGTATTGAAAAACTGTTTTTTCTGTTCACACAGCATTAAAACTCCCATTTGGCAAGACAACAGTGATGCATTTGGTTGCTAGGGAGACACTGCCAGAGCCAAACTCTCAAGGTAGGCTAAACAATAACAAGCTTCTAACTTGGACTTGCAATGTTTCCATTTTCAAAGTATTCATGGTATGGTTGTGTATCCTTAGGAAGAAAGCAACTATTTGTGACTTATAAACATGCTATAATGAAGATAAATCTAGTCATTTCAGGGTGCATATATATGTATGTATGTATGTATGCACGTATATTTAGAAGTACTGAATTTAAATTCACAGTTGGAAATGTATTTGGGAAATTTGTACTTTAGTGGCTTCAAAATATAAAAAGCAATAACTCGTTTTTAGAATTATTGGCATCAAGATAAAAGCAGCAGCAAGAACAAAAACAGAAGGAACCCAAGCTTACAAATAATATTAACTTGTCATTTTAAGCCCAGAACTTGTATCGGTGTTCAGACTTATTCTGCTCCATCTTATCTCTCTTTTCCTCACACACACACACACACACAGATACATACCACAATATTTTGTATTTGTTATCTTGAAAAAGTATCCCTGTTGTTCCTCAGGTCAGAGAAATCGGGAAAAAACTGGAGAGAGCAATTGCTGTGTGATCCTGTAAAAGCTCTGCTGTATCTGCTATTTGTGATGTAGAATAGTTTTCGTCTTTCATGCCGCTGGACTAGAGGAGACCAACATCGTTTCGAACACCCTTAGGAAGAGCCTATCTGTGAATCCATTGAACTGAAATATTACATGAACACTGTCACTTTTTTTTTCCTTGAACAACGAACACTTTTTTATTTCTACTTTTTAGGTTGTTGAACAAGCTTATTAATACATCTCTAGTACATTCTGTCTCCAAGAAAAGGTTAACTATTCTCTTTAGCAGGAATTATTTTTCTGCCATAAAATCATCCTTAACCTGAACATTAACCAATCAAGATTTCTAGATGCAATTTGCACTAAATATGGTTGACAATATATAGACCTCATCAACAAAAACTCAAGTATTTCAAACACAGAGAAATGAATCAGCACTGGAAAATATTATCGGCAGTCTTTTTTCTTAAATAATGGCCAACCTGAAAGAGGGGGGAAAAAATAAGTAAATTCTACCTAAGTCAGCCTTGGTGGCCAAACTGGCACAAAATACTAACTAAAATTGTCTGTCTGTAGACATATATATTTTCACTGCAACAAACTACGTGCCTGTAATTTTAAAGCACTCTGCAGAGGGCTGTTGAAACTGATTTTTGTCATTGACGTGCACTCTTCTCTCATACATTAGTTGAGTGCTCGTTCAGACAGCACAAATAAGTGCAGAGAGTGCATTTCCTAGCCTTAATATGGGAGGGGTAATTTCCTGTAGTTCATAGGCTTTTATTAATGTGCATAAATATTAGAAGACCTCATTTACTAATCAATTTTATGTCTTTGAATATCAACAATTGATGTTTTTCAGTCATTCTTATCCATCTGTACTTTAGTGTCAGTGTCATGCATACCCATTAGTGACTTCAAAGAAATAATTACAAAAGTAAGGAGAAAAATGTAGAAAACCTCTGCCATATGATGAGTTTTTATTTGTTTTATGTTATCTGCATTCGTTATTAGTGCTTGCAATCGTATTGGAAATCAAAAGCTGGTTTTTAAAAGCATACATAGTTACATATAATGCCATTCTTTTACTTCATATAATTTAAAATTTGATATGCTAAAAAAATTTGCACAGCACTAAAGCATGAGTTAGTTTCATCTAAATCTGTAAAAAAAAAGATATAAAAGATTTTATATTTTTTCCACTAGGGAGAAATCCTTCCTAGTTGAAACTACAAATGTGTAGAATATATTTAATAAAAATCTTATAAAAACATGACTATAGAACTTAAATATAGATTGGCGTGTAGAATAATATCACAATAATCCATATAAATAGCTCTAGGCTTTAAAAATGCAGGTTGACATTGTGTTCTGTACTTGAGTCCATGGCCCTTACAAATGTTCTGTGTTTTTTGAATGATCAACTTCATTTAAATGTAATCAGGTTATTTTATTCAATGTTATTGCTTTGACAAAATGCTTTATATGCAGTAGGTCTACAAAGATATTGTTCATAATGATCAAAAATAAATTTGTATAGAGCAGAGTTTTAAAACAAAATTGTAAATAGCACTAAACATTTTCTTTCTGCAACCTGTACTGATAGTTTCTTCTGTAAACTAAATAAAAGAAGAATATTGTAGTGCAATTGGTTGTAATTTGAGGGCTGTGACCTGACCTGCATTTAGCATTGATATTTTCAGTCTTGAGCTGAGGTCTAAGGAATGACTTGAGGCATACATCCTGAGATTATAACTCTCCTTCCCCCACTTTGAGCAGCAGATTCCCAAGCCATATCACAAACTTGCTGTTTTAAAGTTCGTGTTGTGACAATAAGGAGTTGCTGTTTGGGAAATACAGTCCCTAGTCTTCCTTGGGCATGTGAAGCTAATGGTGTTGAGCTCTGGATCCTCACTTTATCATACAAAAGTGGTTGATCTTTTTATGATTTGAGATGCAGAGTGGAAAGTTTTTCTTTTTTCTTTTACTTCACGTCAGGATTTGGGTTGAATATCCCAAGATGATACCCTGGAAGTGTAAATTTCATGTGAGCATCTTTATGTTACTCGTTCATTTCTTTGTGCAGTTGCATTTTTTTCTCCACAAGGTAAATTTCAGCTCTCCTTATTGTCAAGAGAGGCTAGAATTATGAGAGCAAAACTTCTAAGAATGTCAAACAAGTCAGTAAATTAATCACAACTTGTTCTGAGAGAGAAACCCATCTGTTTAAAGAAGTTAAGTATCTGCTGTTTACTAATCCCTGTTTATATCAAAAGCACTAGCTGCTGCAGGATTTGAAAGGGGATATTTATTTATTATATTTATATCTCTTTCAAGGAACTTAAGGCAGCTTACACAATTCTCCCATTTCTCTCAATTTTATCCTAGTTGAATAAGAAGCAAGGGTAAAGTCATGTGGAGAGAAGGGAGCATTGTACTTCTTTTGATCTTCCAAATAAGAACTTGCAACCCTCTCATGTTCTAACAAAAGCGCCTGCTTCTGTGTAAATCACAAAACGGTGGAAGGGTGCTTATGGGGTGTGCCTGTGGCAGATTTTAATTGGGAATGTGTTGACAGGCCACATCCCCAGCTGCTTCAAGGGTAGTACAAAGTGGCCCCTTATTTCCAGTGAGCAAATATACTGGTTGTTGGAATTCAGCATGCACTAGATGTCCAGTATACATGTCTACATCCTTTAACCATCTCTTCACCTCCAAATGTGTAACACACACATTGATAAGAACTAAAACTTGTACATGAGCTGGTGGCAATTCATACATGTGCTGTCTATGAGTTGGCATGTTGGGGGCAGGTTACTCCCTATACAATTCATATGAACATAAAATTCCTTTAATGGATTAGCAGGATTTGGGACTGTAGCTGATTAGTCAACCTAGTTAGTTCAATGGAATCAAACCTTGTTCATCTAGTGCTGATTAGTCTCAGTTCTCCAAATTTCAAAGCAGGGTAGCCCACCTTTACTTGCCGGGGAATGAATGTAGGCTCTTGTACACTAAGTATATGCTTTGCCTCTAAGCTACAGTCCCAAATCCCTGCTGATCCAGTAATTGAAAGTACAGTGTTGACATTTTAGATACTGGGTGGAGAAACGGTTCAAGTGACTGATAAGTGCTCTAAAGCCTCAGAATAACAGGAGTTAGTACTGTGTTTCCAGAGTGAGTTGGAATTGGGGGAGGGCTGGGTAGTCATTCTCTTGGCAAGGAATTTCAGCAGTAGCTAATCTTGGATAGGCTAAAGTGTGCCATGAAGTGTAACTTGGGGGAGTACCAACTTTCCTTTTGTCATATTTGGCCGACTGTTAGGAAATGGGATTCAGGCAAAGCAGAGAAGATAGCCAACATAAAGCAATAAAATACAGGCATGTTCATTGTGTTTGCTTATTTTTTTCTGAAGCAGGGATGTCATTAATCCTGTTCAATGCCATTAGTTAATCAGGGAGGCTTACTGAGAACCACAGTCAGGCCTTGCGTACTTCCCGCAATGTACATGGGAAACAGAAGATGCACATGTCCACCCAGTGGCATGGAGACTATCGCCATCATGACTAGTAGCCATGGATGACCCTCTCCTTCATGAACATGTCCAGCCCCCTTTTAATGCCATCTAAACTAGCATCCATCTTGTAAGTGAATTCCATAGGTTAATTCTGCAAGTGGTACCCTATGAAACACAGTCCTGCTGATGTGTGACATGGTTTTTATATGGCAATTTCCAGGTGCCCATGTGTGCTTTTAATGGAATAGATTTTCTTTGAAAGAATGCCTGGTCCACCACATACAAGGAGCACAACTTGTGTATGCTCTGTACTGCTTGTCCTTTCTGCCTAATGCCTTGTTAAATTACATCACTGTGACCACCAAATAGACTCCCACAGGACTCCCGCTGTTTTACAGCATAGAATCAATGACATTCAGGGAATGAGTCAGTAATTTGTTCCTAATGAGGCAATTCTCTGTAAGGTGGCTGATTTAGTTCAATCAGGTTATACATAGTTGTTGCTGTATCTGAGATGCAGTGAACTGCTGCTATCTGGCAAAGTGATGGGTGTGCCATGAGCTATCCAGTATGTGCATAACTGAAATGCAAGCAAACTGTTGTATCAAAATCAGGTCCAGTATGGTGTGACTCCTTGACATGTTTTGAAACTCATGGAAGGAGATGAAGCCCTGACAACTCAGTAAACAAGTCTTTGTGGTCTTCTCAGAAATACAAATCTGCAGGAGGAATGAACCAAACTCAGCAGGACTTCTTCACGTGCAAATTAAAATCCTGTTTTGTCAAGCCATTCTAGTAAAAAAAAAATAAAAAAATCAAGATGAAGTTTGTCGAAAAATGGGTATCTGATAATCATCAAGTACATCTTTGCAACCTAAAGGACAGGCTGGTGTAATATTGCCCAGATGCAGCTTGGCTTTGGTGATATTTTAGATGAATATTGGGGCAGAATACTGCAGTTTGCCTCCTGGCAGGAGAAGAGAAATGGAAACATGCTGGATATTTTGAGGCAAGAGCCTCCTTGCATTTAGGGACTACCTGCAGGTAGGTGTGCATGTGTGTGGTGCTCTGGAAGACTGCAGGTTGATCTACAGAGGCTGCTAACCTCTGCTGCAATACCTTGCCTTTGGCCATTGGCTGTTGGTGGTGGTGATGCTGTAGCACAGCTGAACAGGGGAGCGCACACTCAAGTCCCTCCCATTATGAGGGAGCGCAGGCTCAGTATTTAAGCCAAATGTATTTATCTCACTTGGGGCACATGCAAATGGATACAGTGTGGTTTCATTATGTTGAAAATATGACATTAAAATTCATGTGGCATACTTGTGAGTAAGTCCATGGAAGGTAATGTGAATGACTTCTCAATAGCCATGCAACGCAGCTGTTCCTTGAGGCAAGAGGGAAAGGTAAGCAAAAGGTAAGGGTTGGAAAGACACTGAACACTTTGATTTTTTCCAAGGGTAGCAACATGATTCTCTAGCTGATTGTGTGAGTCAGAAAGTGAATGCTCATTTGCTTGCATTTCTTTATTTTAGCTCAACTAGCTATGCACTGGTAGATATTTTAAAGAAGAAAATAAAAGTGAGAACTCCCCCTGGTCTCCCCACCAAAAGATGATGGAGTGGGAGAGGGGGTGCTGCCAATTGCTGCTGTCCTTCCATCCACCGTAAGGTGAAGCTTGTAGGGTCAGCATCCTTCACCAAAAAGCAAGTCCTGGTGCGCACATGCAGCCTCATCCCATACCAGCTTTCCACAAGTGAATGCTACTAACACTGATGCAGCTTGCTTGTGAGTAGAGCTGTTAAAGAAAATGTGATTGCTTTTGAGCAAGTATGTGCTTCAGAGAATAATTTCTCAAGGCATAAAGATAAATCGGAAAGGCTTGAAAAGACACTGCAAAGTTTACTCTTCAAAGTACAGGGAAGAGGGAGAGGGAGGTTGTGCAGGTGGAGCTAGGGAGGCAGAAAAGCAACGGAAGGATCTGCTGGGCTGCTGTTTGGCTGAAGCTGCAGTAGAACTCTTCCTCTTCTCCAATAGTCCCAGCTCACTGAAGACACTTCTGGTCCCTGGAAAGCATCACACTCATATAAGTATACTGTGGAAGAACTGCAACATATTAAAAAAATGTGCTATAACTAGTCCAAGGAAATCAAAAATATGATCGATGAAATAGTATGAGGAGCTTCTGAAGTCAAAATGGGACTCTCTCCAAAGTTACCAGTGTAGAAACTGAACCATGCATTTGGGTTTCGGAAGGACCAACAGCATATCACACAAAACAACATTGTTTGACTGCTGGGTGGAAAGAAGAGATTGAATGATGACAGATATGGCTTGTAATCACAGCTTCTTTTACTAGGGGCTCCAATCTTGGTGCCTTAGGGGATGGCAAGGACAGGACTGGGAGAGCAACATTTTTCCAATACCAGAAGGTTTTCTGTATGAAAAAAGCTTTAAACTGGTCGTCAAACATTACGTCAACCCCTACACCTAAACTTCAGAGATGTACATATATAGCCTGAAAGCACCTCTACACAATGTGCTGTTGTCATACAAATTGTCCCCACCCCGCAAATCACAGAGGAACTGAAGGGGAAGTTAATCAGTTACCCTCACCCAAATTTGACAACTCTTTTTCACATAAATGGTTGTACCTATTCTGAAACTTTGCATGTTTCTTACCAAGTGCTGTCTGTTATTTTTGGAAGAATGCTTCACATAGCATAGTAGGATAAATGCAGCCTTTCCTGAATACCCTCAAAATGTCATGGCTACTGTTGCACAAAAATTCCTGTACCTGTTAATCTGAAACAGAGCAGGACTCACTAAGCTCAGAACAGGTAACTATTCCTGCAAATGACATCCAATTCAACCAAGATCTTACAAGATCTGCACTTGGTCTTATTGTATATTCTCTTGTGCAGTAAGCCATAGAATCCAGCTGAGCTGTTCTAGGTAATGTTCTCTATGGGGTAAGAAGAAAACCACAATGTAAGAAACTTGAATATCACTTCTCTTAGTGATATGCCAATTTGCATCTGACATGGCGTTTGGCCATAAATCGCCAATGGGCACTTGATGTGCAGTTGTTCAAGAAGTGTTAATAAAAAAGCTTCTCTTTCAGACTGGAA